CAAACTGGTCACTCCATGTCTTTATGGAGCTGCTTTGTGCACAGGGGCTCAGTCATGCTGGAACAGGAAAGGCTCTTCCCCAAACTGCTGACACAAAGCTGGAAGCAGATAACTGTGTAAAATGTCTTTGTGCTGCAGCATCAACATCACCCTTCACTGGAACTGAGGGGCCCAAACCCTGAAAAACAGCCCCGCCCATCATCCCTCCTCCACCAAACTGTACTGTTGGCTCTGCATTCCGGTAGGTAACGTTCTCCTGACCTCCACCAAATCCAGATTCATCATCAGACTGACAGATAGAGACGCTGATTCATCACTCCAGAGAACACGGTTCCACTGCTCCAGAGTCCAGTGGCGGCGCTTTACACCACTCCAGCCGACGCTTGGCATTGCGCATAGTGATCTTAGGCTTGTGTGCAGCTGCTCATGGTTTGAAATGAAGGGAGTGTGAGGGCGGGTCCCGGACCTCCTGTGAGAAACAAAATTGAGGGGGGTTCCATGTTAGTTTCAGTTTTCTAACAAGCTGTTTTTGGAGGTGGTCTTCTTTTTAAGCTCTCATCATGTTCAACATCAGACTGTAAACTCACCCAGTAATTTTATCTTATGAAAGTGTTTTATTTTGGTTTATAAGTAGTTTATTTTAGTGCATTTTACTAGTTTTAAGCATCATTTCTTGAAATAAGTAAAATGATCTGCCAATGAAATGACACTTTTATTAGATACAGTTGCTTAAAACAAGTAAAAATGTGTAGAAATAAGTTAAACAATCCTATAATATTACAACCATTTCATAATGAGAAATATCAGATATTAACTACATTTAGGATGTTTTCACTTGCTAAGGTATCATTTTTTGCTTTGCAAGCGTTGACATTCCCCTTGATCTCAGGTCTTAGAAGTGAAATCAGGTTTCCTAGCAACTGTAGCAGGTATGTAATGTGACACTGTGAAACTGTGACTCCCTCTCGCTGTAAGAAGGACAGAGCAATGCTTGGATAACTGTCTATTCAGTCTGCAGTACTTATTTTATTACATTCATGGCTTACAATGAACTCTTGATGCAGACATGAACATTTCAGTGGGCAGGTGACGACGGCTACGTTTGAGGACCAGGAGCAGCCTGGTAGAAGGTGGTGGTTCTGATGTGATTCTCCCTGATCCTCCTCCTTCTCCTCGTTTTCTTCATAATGCTGGGGCGAGCACAGCATTCCAGAGTGGAGGAGATCCCACAACATGGTTGCCCTTCTCAGCACCCATCGCCCACGTGATGCTCAGCAACAGTTAAAAATCATGATATGACATTTATGCTATATATTTTTCAATATAAAGCGCCTGGCTTGTAACTCACTCACTCACATTGAGCAGGCAGAAGATTATCCACAAGAGGGCACTCTAATAGCCCATATATTTATTAGGAAATTTCACAGTATAAGGGTATATTTTGTCTAATAAATCAGTAAATACATAAAAAATTTGGCAAGAAAAACTGCAAAAATGTATTCATTTTTCAGCATTTGGGGAAAAAAGCAGAAAAAAATTAACAGAAAATGACACAAATAAAATAATAATAAAACAATTTAGTTTGTTCACTCTTCACCTTTATTCCAGCTTCCATTCTTTTCAGGAGCCTCACTTTCAGTTCCTCAAAGAATCTGCAGACACACCTCCAAAGTTCAGTCTTAGAAGCTGGTTGATCATTTTCTGAAGTAATCAAACACATTCAGTGGTGTTGAGGTCTGGACTCTGGGGTGGTCAGTCCATCGTTCAGCTTCTTTGTTTGATGTGTCCGTCTCCTTTTCTCAGTGAGGTTCTTCCTGACAGCTACACATCCTTTCAGACCCATAGCGCTGATTTTCATTTTCATTTTCAAAAAGGTTATATATATATATATAAATATAAAGAACCATTTTCTTTCCTAAAGTACCCTTGATGAGCCATCTTTTTAAGAGTGTATATAGAACCTTTCTGAAAAAGGTTCTATATAGCTCCCAAAAGGGTTCTACTATTGTTACAATGTCAAAGAACCCTTTTGGATGCTATATATAGAAACCTTTTCTAAAATGTTCTATATAGGACCATTTTCTTTGCTAAAGAACCCTTGAAGAACCATCTGTTTAAGGGTGTACATTATTCGAAGCTGTCTCAGTTTTAAGTGAGGAGGTCTGTCGTCCTCCAGTGCTAACATTACTGATATTACTGATATTGCATTACCGGTGCTGCACTGGGTTTTGCTTATATTTGGTGTACTTTGGTGATGAATGCACCGCCACATCAATAGAACTGGCCATGTAAAAGCTGTATTTGAACGGGAAGGCTGCAGTCGCAGAGTTCTAGCAAAAGCACACTGCAGCTGGGCTTCAGGCTGGATCTATGGATGGTTCTAGTGCTGCGTTTAAATGTTGGAGTTGAAGAAAAACACTGGGCCTCATTCTTTAATATATTCCTAAGTCTGTTCCTAAGTGTGTTCTTGAGAAAGGTCCTAAGAAAAAGTCTACGTTAGATTCATGACGTGTTCTTAAAGCGCAGAACTGTTCTCACCTTTGTGCTCTTGAGTGTGTGTGGATTCTGTTCTTCCCTACCCAGATAGGGAGCATATATCGGTCCACTGGCTTGATAAGGTCGGCACCTCACTGACTGCTTGCCACTGCTGGTCCACCCTCGGACCACCCAGATTACTGTCCTGTATACAAGCTCCAACTAGTTCTTAATCTCTCCAAACAGATTTTAAATCCACAGTGACTTTTATTTTAGAAAATAAACTGACAAATATGACAAAACAGTTGAGAGAAAAAAATTATTGACCAGGCCTGAGATAAAATGATTTTATAGAAAATATTGTTGCTGACAGTGTGATGGATTAAAATTATTTACTAAATTAAAAGTCTATCTAAAGAAAGGAAGGAAGGAAAAATCAGTAAATTGGACTGTGAGTGGAAAATGAGTAATGATAAGTGGAATTTTGTCTAATACTCCGCTTAAACACTGGTGGGCTGCCGGGAAAATGCTGAGCAAAACGTCAGTGGACCACCAGCTTTGCCATCAGTGGGCCAACAGTGGTCCACTATCCTCTTACTATCAGGGTAAGAACAAATCCCACTGGTGAGTCAGAATCTTCATCAAAACTGCATGAGTGGGTTTAAGAAATTTCTTCTTAAGAACGGATGGTGAACGAGGCCCAATGTTCTTCGCCTCGTGACTCACTGCGGCCTGAAGCCACACAAATGGTGAAAATAGATCCACAGCAAAAGTTCGGACGTATTCCGCTGACCGCTACGGACGCTGCTCCGTTGAAATATATTGTAATATACACCGATCAGGCATAACATTATGACCACCTCCTTGTTTCTACGCTCAGTGCCCATTTTATCAGCATTGCGCTTGGTGATGTAAGGCTTGGATGCAGCTGCTCGGCCATGGAAACCCATTCCATGAAGCTCTCTACGCATTATACGTGGCCGACCACTTCGTGGCTGAGTTACTGTCGTTCCCAATCGCTTCCACTTTGTTATAACACCACTGACAGTTGACTGGAATATTTAGTAGTGAGGAAATTTCATGACTGGACTTGCTGCACAGGTGGCGTCCTATCACGGTACCACGCTGGAGTTCACTGAGCTTCTGAGAGTGACCCATTCTTTCACTAATGTCTGTAGAAGCAGTCTGCAGGCCTAGGGGCTCGGTTTCATACACCTGTGGCCATGGAAGTGATTGGAACACAAGAATTCAGTGATCTGGATGGGTGAGTGAATACTTTTGGAAATATAGTGTATCTGAATAAGTAAAACATCCATTTGTTTAGACATCATCATATAAAAAATTACCTCATTAAAAACGCAGAGTGAACCATAAATCTGTACGTAACTAGATTTACGGAGGTTTGAACATGTAACAGTTATCCCTTATTTGCTGTCCAGAACGTTTGAGTAAAGAGCCCATCTCACGCAAAACTGAATTAGCTTTTTTCTTTTTTTAATAATAAGAGTTTGATGCATGTAAACACTGTTAAAGTCTCAAAAAGTACCGTTCACAGTTCATACAGTCCATATGTAGAAACTGAACTGCAAAAACAGCCTATTGGGAATTTCTATTTTTGTGATGTAACAAAAATCAATTCATTTATGTAGATCCCCCTGTTCAGTCTACTGCAGTTTAGCCCCGCCCACTGACGGTGAAGTTATAAAGAATGTTTCAGCAGAGAATCCTCTGTGAAGGATGCAGCCAATCAGAACCGAGGTCATTTACGTACATCGGTCTTAAAGGGACAGTAATAAAAAAGCCTGCTTAAGCTAATTTAAAGGGGTTCTATATAGAACCATCTTTTCAAAGACCGTATATGGTTTCATATAGAACCCCTTTTCAAAAGAGTTCTACATAGATGCAGAGAACCATTTTTTGAAAGGAGGTTCTATATAGAACCATCGTTTTTAAGACTGTATATGGATCTATATAGAACGCCTTTTCAAAAGAGTTCTATATAGATGCAGAGAACCATTTTTAAAAGGGGGTTCTATGTTGAACTACCTGTATATAGAAACTAAACTGCAAAAACAACCTAGTAGGAATTTCTATTTTTGTGATGTAACAAAAATCAATGCGTTTATGTCGGCTCTCCTGTTCTGGCTACGCCAGTTAAGCTCCGCCCACTGACAGTGAAGTTATAAGGAGTGTTTCAGCACTTTGTGAAGGAGGCAGCCAATCAGAACAGAGGTAATTTACATATCAGTCTTAAAGGGACAGTAATAAAACAGCTTGCTTAATTCTAAGGGACAAGGAGAGGCTGGAAAATGCAGAAATTAATTATGACTATTTTTGTTAGACAATCCGAGACAAACGTCTCAAGTGGACCACAGAGGGAAAATGAAAATATAATAAACACGTAGGATATGGGTCATTTAACATCACTGAATGTGCTGATGTGAGTGAAGGTGGGTGAGCTCCAAACCAAAAAAGTGAAATACGGCTGAATCTTCATTGAGAAAAAGCCTGAAGAGGAACGTGGCTAAACACACATCGGCTCTGTCGGCCTTTTATTGTTCTCAGTTTCTTTATACAAAATTGTGAGTTAAAAAAGCTCTTCCTCTGACAGCCGTGCTCCACCTGCCACACGGCAACTGTCCTGGCATATTTTATTCAAAGTGACATCATCATCATCATCGTATCCCTTCAGGAAATCAATGATCCTACAGAAGACAGAGGGGAACGTCCTGCCCATCACATCATCTGGTAGCTTTCCCGTTCTCATGTACGTCCATCCTGGAAAAAAGGATAAACAAAGAAATTTAATAGCCTCTCGGGGTTACAGTGTTTAGGGTCATACGGTAAGACGTGAAGAGAACAGAACGAACCCGTTCTCGTCCTTCAGATGTTGGTACAGTTCTGCTTTGTTATTGACAGAATTGACTCGTCCAGCAAACTCCTGGTGCTTTCTGGAGTTGGCTTGGGTGATTCTGCTGGTCCAAAGGCTCAGCAGGGAGACGGGGCCTAGAAAACAAGGATGCTCATCAATAGTGAGGTAGTCAAGAGGAGAGTCTGAGTCAGGACCAAGACCTGGACACACATCCAAGTCAACACAGAGTCCAGAGTTAGATTTAAAAAAAAATATATATAATAATAATAAAAAATACAGTAAGAAAAGAAACGGGAAAAACTGAAATTGGATTGTATTTCAGCGTACTTTCATTTTCATACGTTATATACATATAAATAGTATATCGCTGTTGTCTCGTATCTCCAAAATGGTAACTTTACAGGAAAAGGGAAAAACCTACTTTACTTTTAATGTAAGTCAATGGAACCAGACTTTTTCCCAGGTCATTTTGGGACGTTTCTTTTGGTCCATTCTTCATGAAATCTACATACAATATAAAGGGTAACAGGTATTTTCAAACTATGTCCAAAACTGAAAAACGCCAAAAATGGAGATGGAGAGGTTTTCTTCCGACAGCAGCAATATTTTACATTATTATTATTATTATTATTATTATTATTATTATTATACTCTTAGTCCAACTTTACACTGTAATTTTGGAGGTAAATGATGGGGAAGTTCTTCTCTAAACCTATTCAGAATCACTATCTAAAGCCAACTGGATATAAACCAAACAACATACATCCATTTTTATTATTAAATGAAAAAATACTAATGATAACACTCCGATCTGCCCTGAGGGGATGTTTGAATTTTGTAAAAAAACAAATTCAACACTATCAATCTCAGAAAGATCAATTAGTTCCTCAATCAGCAGTGAACAGATTGGATTTAAACATGCAGAGAAAGTATTGTTTTATTCTGTTTGAAGGTTTTGTTGATATTCAGTTATGACAGAAAAAAGCTTAGTTTCCATTTATTTTGGACGGAGGAATCGCACTCGACTCCATAATCCGACCAAGAAGAGTCCAAATGTGGCGATGGAGCCACGCTGCAAAAAATGGTATCTTGTCAAGTGAAATGATCTTAAATCTATTTGATGGTCGTGCACTTATAAGATTATTTTCCTTGTTTCTAGACATTTTTACTCATCTTAGGTAATTTGATTAAGTAAAATTCTCACTATACTGGTAGATAATTTTGCTGGTTTCAAGCACATTTCTTAAAACAAGTAAAAAATGTCCATAAATGAGGGAAATAATAATCTTACAATAAAATATTAGATTTATTGACTATATTTAATATAATTTTACTTGACAAGAGGCCATTTTTTGCAGCGTAAGAGTCCAAATGATGTTGAGACAGAGTTCAAAAATATCTCTCCCAAATTTTTAATGGGATGCATGTCAGGAGATGAGCTCCCTGCCAGCACCTTAACCAGTCCGGAGTTATTCTGGCTGTATGTTTGGGGTCGTCCTGTTGAAACGTCCATCTTTTCCCCAGATTCAGTTTCTTGGCTGATGAGTTTAAATTCTCCTCTAGTATCTCCCACTACATCGCTCCATTCATGTCTACTTCGATAGCTATGATGATCCAGCACTGTTTACCTTCGTACTTCACTGTGGGTATTTCTGGGGATCTTCTTTCTCCAAACGTGCTGAGTTATCACCAAAGAGTTCTATTTTAGCTTCGTCTGATCAGGGAACACTGTTCCAGCGCAGTTCCGATTTGTCTGAAAGCTCTTTGCATCTTTGAACGTCTTTTTTATCAGAGGGGTTTAGTGTGGGGTCTAGGAGCGGAGATAGTTATGGTGGAGTTCCCTGCTTATTGTTTTCTGTGTATCTGCTGTTCGGCTCTTTTTAAGTGACTGCTGGATTCTCTCCTACCTTCTGCATTCTGCGCGATCAGTCGTGGTTCCTTTTAGCTTTTCACTTGCATATGACTGAACCAGTCATGCTGACAGGGGTGTTTAAGGTCTTTGTTGGGACTCTGAAGCTTTTTCCATTCAAGTGTTCTTTCAGAGGGTTCTCTCTTAAGAACTTTAGGAAGCTCCTTTGCCTTCACCATGACTGCTACTTCATGCATGACATCTTCCCATCCAATGGCAGTGACTTACTGGTGCGTTCCAATCGGGAGGCAGCTGTCTAAGTAGGCAGCATTTGGGCTCCCGAGACGAAGGCTGTCTCATTCGGAAGGCAGCTGCCTTCTAAAGTGCCTTATTTTGACCAAATCTGAAGGCGGCATCGCATGTATCCTTCTCAGCGAAGGCAATCCCACAATACTGTTCATCTGCTCACCGGCCGAGAGTCCCATCGCTTTAGTTAGATGAACACGGCAGACGAAGCGGTTGGTTTTCGTCGACTGAGGAGTTTACAAATGTTTTTTCTTCACTTCTGTCTTTACTGTTTTGATTGTTGTATTTGTGTAAAGTATTTAACATATTTGTGTTTGTAGGTCTTTAGCAATCATTCCTATGGTGAAATTCTGGCAGTTCGCTCGTCTAACGCGACCTGACTGGCAGCGTTTGTAACTCTTTGGGTGAAGCTAACGGCGGAACCAGCGCTGTAAACTGACGTTCTCCCTAAACGACGAAAAATCCTTCAACATACTGGAGGATGTAGAAATTCAGAAATAAAACGTCTTTAAAATAAATACCACAAATGCTTATTTTTGCTGCTCTTCTTGTTTTGTATTGCTGTGCTCATCACAGTCACATCAGGGTGAATGATGACGGCTAAATTTCAGACTAGGAGCTCATTAATCAGATGAGAATGCATAAAATAAAATGCAGTTTTTACCCTTTATGTGTGAGAAATAAAGCGGGTTCATTAAAGTGGATGAGGACAGCGAATTAAGCGAAATGATTCACAAACTAGTACGATTATCTGTATTTATCTGAGGCGCTGAGTCGAGTATATATAACAGATACGACTCCTTAAAGCGGCCTGTTCTTCATGCACAGGTTTCCAAACAGCTGCTGCAGGTTCGGAGCTGTCCTTAATCACTGAGGCTAACGAGTAGCTGCGAGTAAACAGGTTTAACGTGTACAGCGCAGTGAGAGTTATGATGCATGATGGCTCTGAAGCTCTGTCCCGAACGAGATGTCTGCTAAGGTTCCTTTTCGGCTAAAATGCTGCCCGACAAGAGAGCCGCCTTTGAAGGCAGTGACTAGTTAGGCAGCTGCCTTCAGAATGGAACACACCATATGTGTGTAACTTCTAAGTGGATGTATGCACTGTTTCTCCTCACTGTATAAGGCACAGCAAAGTTATATTCACTCTGGAAAATATTAACAAGGAAATACCTTTTGATTTCTCCAAGGACAGAATCTCCTCTGAGGCAAGCCGGGGTTTCTTATTGAACGGTTCTGGAGAGTCAGGAGAATCTTTGATGACCTCAGATTCACTCTGTTCCTCTTTCTCTCGCTCTATTGCCCCCTTCAGTCTGGAGGAGGAACAACAATCTTAAAAATTATCAAATTTTTAAAAATGCACTTTAAATTGTAATTCCAGAACATCATCTATGAACAAAGGGACTCAGTAAAGACAGCTACACAGTAAAGCCTTCTAACCTTTCAGAGTCTGGAGTCCATCCTTTCTCCTCTGACTCTTTACCGTTCTTCTCCGTTTTATCCTCTTTGTCTTCCCTTTTTCTCCCTCGCTTTTTCCTTTCTTCCTCTTCGGGAGGTTTGCTCCGGCAGGCGCTGATGCACTCCAGGACTTGCTGGTGTCTCTCACTGGTTCCAACGTGAGTTTTCACCAGAGTCTCCAGCTCGTTCCACATGATCCGATACTGCTCATCCCTACAGCACAGAAATACTCTGGATCAACACCAAACCTTAACTCTGAAACCTGATCTCTTTAGTCTGAATGACGACTTCACTACGGACTGAATTCAGGACAGTAGCTTTTACAGAATAACAGTTCCTAACTTCATAATCTCATCATGAACTCCAGATAAGAAAACAGCATCACACAAACATCCTAACTAGACTAAACCTCCTAAATCCTGTCCTAACTTTAGGATGAACCCCAACAGGGTCCTCACTTCTGTTTAAGGTCCGTTTCTATGGTTTTTAGGCAGCTGTGTCAGCAGCATAGTTCACTACCAGCATAATGAGCTCCATTTATTTCTACTGTAAAACGCTGCTTTCACTGTGAGATGATTTTCTTTTCTAACTCTGCGTTTTAAAGATCTCAGACGCTGCAGACTCGATCTCCACCGCCCCTCTGATCACCTTCGTGTGTTAATGTTGATGATGAAATATTACAGTGATGGTGGTGAATAATGAGGAGACGGAGCTGAACGTGTGTCTGTTTATTAGGAGGAGTAACGTTAGCGCGCTCGGCTAAAGCGTTTGGGAAATGGAGACTGAAACTGGGCAGCGGAGACACTCTGATAAACAGCAGGGGGCGCTCTCACAGTATTCACTACTTGCAATTTATCACACTTTAGTTTTGTTTGACCTTTTTTACATCAGTAACAGCAGCTAACATTATACATATTCGGAACATTCGTAATACGAATTTGTGAAAAATCTTATCTCGACCTGTCAGATCTTAAGACAAAAAGTAATACGGCCCCAGGATATTTTTCCACCCAGATCTTATGGTTTATTATAGGCAAGGCGAGTTTATTTATATAGGACCTTTCATACACTGCTGTCATTGAAAGTGCTTTATATAAGAGAAAATACAGAGTCATTTATAAAGTAAATGAAATCGTTAAGGTAATAATCTAATTACAAATTAAATTCGCATAATAAAGTGCCATTACAGAGGTGCAGAATTTTTAGACCCCCTCTTTCTTTAGAACCAGGACCAGTGTGTTTATATAGGCTGGCTCAGGCACATTGCTAAATTAGTTACAGAAGCAACACCTGTTCTTAACCTATACATAGACAGTCAGGAATAACTGTTCACAGATGTCCTCCCAGGTACAGCTCACATAAAACATACACAGATCATATACATGTTATAACACATAATACTGAACATAATATTACACACAAAACATACAGTACAGCAGATCCTTCAGAGGAGAAGGGCTAGAAACGCTAACAGTGTTTTAAACTGAGACGAAAGCAGCTCAAACAGGAACGATTTAAAACTGGATTTAAAAGTGTCGAGAGTCTCAACAGTGATCTAAAACACACTAACATTATACAGTAACTGTATGGAATAAATATAAAACGTTGGTGTTGATGTCTCAGGAAAACGTCCTTCACATGTCCTTATTAAAGAAGGCCGAGAGGAAGACGTCGTGTTCTGAGACACATAAGCTGGACGTCCGTCTCCTCTGCAGACCAGTTTCTGCTCCGCCATGTTGAACGGTATAAACTTTCACTATGACGTGACGAACATGATCAGAACAGACTTAAACTTTCCGATAGGGAATGTAATCAGATACAGGCGTTTACACGGATATTATTCTTCTATTTAACGGATTATTTACAGGATTACCCACCTCGATCAGTCGGATAGAAACTGTATTCCGAATGGCCTCAATCGGACTAGACTATTCCGACTGAGGTGTAAACACAGACGTATTCTATTCCGATTTAACTATTAGTCGGATTATTAATGGATAATCAGGCTGCATGTAAACGTGGCTAATGATCTAAAACATAAAATAAATATATGTTCTTCTAGTGGTCCTCACCTTTTAGGTCCTTTGCCCCTGGAGCCCACTGTAGAAATGGGTAAAGGGTCGTTTTTCCTTTCCATGTCCACTAGATTGTACACGGTCTTCTGGCACGTCAGAAGATCATCCTCCGTCATACTATCTTTAACTATCAGGTTTGCTAAAGGCACCACCTGAAACAGAGACAGGCAGAATGAAACATACATGAACACACTTCACGTACAGTACTGCACAGAAGTCAGAGACCACCCTTCATTTACTTCATTTCCACTCAAAACTACCTCTAAGTACAAGGAGATATTTCTGAGGATAATAGATATAAGATAATCCACCTGCATAAGGAAGGAGAAATTTAATGTGAAAAAAAAAAACAAGAGTTTCCAAAACTGGAGTTTAAAAATGGATTAAAAGCTACAGAGAAAATGTTCCTCCTAACAACCACCTGGAAGAGCTGGTCGACCCCAAAACTGCCCCCATCAGATAAACAGCACTTAAAGCTTTCATCTCTGAGAGAGAGGAGAAAATCAAGCTGCTTCAGATCTGAAAACATCCACAGGTGTTTCTGTCCATCCTTCCACTGTGAGAAGACGACTCAGCGCTGTGGGTCTGAAAGGATGTGTAGCTGTCAGGAAGAACCTCACTGAGAAAAGGAGACGGACACATCAAACAAAGAAGCTGAACGATGGACTGACCACCCCAGAGTCCAGACCTCAACACCACTGAATGTGTTTGATTACTTCAGAAAATGATCAACCAGCTTCTAAGACTGAACTTTGGAGGTGTGTCTGCAGATTCTTTGAGGAACTGAAAGTGAGTCTTCTTCCCTGGAATAAAGGGGAAGAGAGACACACTGAACACTCAATACTAGATTTAGTTATTGAAGCTTCTGTGTAATTTTCTGTTCTTTTTTACCTGAAGATGGAAATTAAAGAAATGAGGGCACCATCATCATTTATAATGTGGACATTTCAATGTCGCACATGTTCGGTGGACACTTTTCTTGCTCATCAGGATGCACAAAGAGGGGAAACTAAACATAAACAACTTTGGTAACATTTTATAACGACTGGCACCGACAGAGAGCAACTTAATTTTGTTTGTTAATGATGGTTAATAATTATATAACTGCTACTTATGCATTAGTAACCATTACTGTTTGAATTATTAATCTATATTAAAGAAATGAGGCTTGGTCTCTGACTTTCACACAGTACTGAATGTTTCATTGATCAAATATATAGAGCAGGATCAGAAAGTCTGAACCCAGAAATCCATAATAAAACAAATGAATCTGAATATCCACCACTCGCTACATCTGTAAAAATCAACACTGTAGCAGGGAAGTGATTAATGGAGGCAGTCAAAGGCTTCGGTCACATTACAAGCCTCGTTGCTCAGATCTGATCTCTCTGACACAATGGTTCACTCTCATTTAGGTAAGTGATTCAAATCTGTCATTAATGTGACGAACCGGCGTCCTGAAATGACCCTCATGAGCTCATCCTACTCAGTAACGTCATGTGGATGAATCACGTTCATCATCAGCACAAACTAACGAGCAGAACGAGCTTCGCTGAGAAGATAATTAACTCTGATCAGCTCTCAGCTTCATTATTAGAGCGAGACGAAGGAGAAAAAGGTGAGATGAGCTGCTTTTCCACCGTTTACAGGCTTTAACTTCTGTTCGGCACTGTTGCCATGGTAACGCAGAATGACGGCGCACGCGCAGTGGGAAAAAACGCATGAATTCCGAATCGGATCGAATCGGATACGTATGCGATCTAGGAAAGTGAATCAGGTCGGATTTCAAAAGATCAGATTTGTGTGTCCATACAGCCCTGAAAACATCAGATCTGAGTCAAATTAGGGCAAAAAATCGGATTTGTGCCACTTCAGCCTGGTAATGTGAACGTAGCCAAACATGCTTGGAAATGCAAAATTGTGAGTTTAGAGACGTAGAACCACTGTGATGCCACCAAAGGCTCTGAGTCACTTCCCACATTTCCCACAGGGGGAGTTCAGTGAAAGGGGGAAATCAGGTAAAGTGAGGCAAAGGAGCCAATCAGTGTGACCATCATTAATAATTACCACACGAGTGCTCATCATTCAGCATTCGCTTTCACTTATCTGGCACCATCATCGTTTAAAACGTGAACATTTCAATGTCGCACATGTTCAGTGGACACTTTTCTTGCTCATAACGATGCACAAAGTGGAGAAACTAAACACAAATAACACCGGTAACACTTTATAACGACGGCACCGACAGAGAGCGACTTAATTTTGTTTGTTAATGATGTTAATAATTATATAATTGCTACTTATGCATGAGTAACCACTACTGTTCGAATTATTAATCTATATTTACTTAATGACATACTAATAATTAAAACACTGCATCTGCTTTTCATAAATGTGTTACATGTAAGTGAAATGTGTAAAATATGTTTTACAAATATATTATAAAGTTACAATTTATAACAGGGTTCCAATTAATGTCTGTAATGTTTAAAAATTCACACATTAGCCATTTATCAGTGGTGGACAGTGACTAAGTAAATGTAATCCGTTGCTGTACTTAAGTAGTTTTTGTGTATCTGTACTTTACTGAAGTTTTTCCCATTTTGGCCGACTTTTTACTTTCACTCCACTACATTTCAAAGTGAAATATCTCACTTTTTACTCCACTACATTATGAGAAATCTGTCGCTCCTTTTGGTTTATGTGTGTATAAAAACATAACATGTCAAAACAAAAGAAGCGCAAAGCAAGAACACCAATCAGGGCACAGCGCTCACTTTGTTTAGAGCTTGTTTTGACCTGTTGGTCATACCGACCCAGTGCAGCACACGGTTCAACATCAGTGCAGCAGCGTAAAATTTTGGGAGAGTCTATTCAACATAAATGATGAACTAACCTAACTTTGTGTAAACAGACCACAATATAGAAATATGTACTCATATGCAGTTGTGACTGACGTGTCTTTATTCTGAATTTATACAAACACATTTCATTTTATAGTAAATTAGTTTTGGCTAGTTTATGTTTATGAACAGAGACCTACAGATGCAGTTTAGTAAAGGAAACTCATTTGTGAATCTGAGTTTAAAGTTTTTATTAAACTTAAACTTGTAAATAAATCTTAAACTGAAACTTTGCTTGTTTGTAAAAAGTGATTTCAGAGCCACTCAGTTCTACCTGATGGAAACTGTTTGCCTTCAGTGTTTCGTGCTTATGATAATTTTAATACACATCAGCGTCACTAATTAATGACTCTATTAAAAGACTGGTTTACCAAGAGAGACACTGGAGTATTTTCACCTAAAATGAGTTAATGAAGCGAGTCTTGTTACAAAAATGATAATAGGACATCAGAGTCATAATTAATCTTTTAGTGCTTTTACTTTTGATACTTAAGTACATTTGAAGGCAAATACTTTAGTACTTTTACTCAAGTGGAGGTCTGAAGGGAGGAACTTCTACTTTTACTGCAGTAATATTTTACCTTGGGTATCTGTACTTTAACTCAAGTACATGATTTGTGTACTTCGTCCACCACTGCCATTTAAAGATGATAAACTCCACATTAAGTACACATCATGGATGTGCATTGCAAAGTGGCGAGATAAGACATACCGACTTAATTATTTAAAAACAGGACACAAATGTGCTAATCAGAATAATTATGATTCGCTAAATAATCTCTAAATAATTAGCAGTAAAGGAACAGGTATCTCACTGCCTGCATGTTGAAGATGGTAGTTTGGGAAATGATCATTGGCCAGTAACGCGTGTGGCGCTCCAGCTGGGCTTTGGCTCGTTCAAACGGCGCTCTACCAGCAGCATCTACGGGCATGTCTGGAAACGGAGTGAGACGGTTCTCCCTCATGAACTCCCCGAAGTCCTGCAGAGAGGAAAGAGATGATAAGAGGGGATAAGAGACAAGCCTGAGCTCCACCGCAAAACTGAATGATCAGCAATGATGCCCAACACACGGCTCCTGAAAACTGAACATATCAGCTCCTTTAAAGGACAAAATAATGAAGAAGGGCATTGAAGACTTTTAGGGCTGTCACGATTACCCGATTATAACTGGTTACTCGGGCTCCCGAGTGGCGCAACCGTCTAACCATCAGGAGATCGTGAGTTTGATCCCCGGTGATGCTACAGCCGTCTGTGGCCAGGAATACAAGAGAGCACAATCAGCCTTGTTTCCTCTGGGTGGGCAGGATGGCCTCCTGTCTCCCCCCATCACTCAGCGCAATGCTAGCCAGTGCAGGCGTCTGTTAGCTGACGTAAGAGAACTGGCGGTTAGGGTTCAGCTGTTCAACAGCGTTGTGTTAGCGACAGTTCGAAAAGATGTGGTGCCGTTCCCTTTAGCTTTTGCCGCCCTAGCGCTGGTGGTATTGCGTGATTTGGGGAGTCTTAACTAGCGGGTGGAATTGGATGTGTCTAAACCGGGGAGAAAATTGGAAAAAATGAATAAATAAATAATTGATTACTTGACTAAAAATGTACTGATTAACATGGTCTTCTACACTGAAGTGGGTGTGGAAAAATTAGACTTTGTGAGCTGTGAGGCCTAATTTTTTAATTTTTGTGAATTATCAGAACATTTGAGCCAGAACCACCAGAACCATCTACTCTAACAAATACTCTAACTGAACACCAAGTGTGTGTGTGTGTGTGTGTGTGTGTGTATGTGTGTGTATACATGAATTTTTTGTGCCATGTCCAAATTTGCTTTCCAGTTGGTGCATTTTTATTGAATTTTCTTGAAAATGCCGCTTTCAAGTAGGTTTTTACACATTTTGTTAAAATTTGAGGTCATCTGAGGGAGAATTGGCTACGTTATTAGACAACTGCTAATGTCATATAAACCTCACCACCTGAGAGTCTGTGGTCACTTAGCTTATCCTACCTGAAGCCACTTCGGCCGACGAGCCTGATAAACGAGAGCTGAGACGTGTTTTTTCTCGTGTTTTTCCTGAGACCGAAGTCGTTTTTCAGTCTGAGTCTGTGTTGTGAGGATCCTAAAATTTTCACTTAAACATACAGGCAGCTTTCTGTAGGAATGATATCTGCGGCACTGAGCATGTTTAACCAGCGCAGCCATGTTTCTAGAACAATCCCATCTATGTTGGTACAAAAATGTGGTATTGATGTACACTTTTTAAAAAAAACGTTGCTTTGATCAAAAAGGTTTTATATATAACCATGAACACTCAAAGAACACTTTGCATGATTAAAGGGTTCTTTGCATCATGAATAGGTTCTTCAGATTGGTGGAAAATTTGCATGAATGGGCTACAGATGGTTCTATATAGAACCTTTTTGAAAAGGGTTCTATATAGGATCCAAAAGGGTTCTTCTATTGTTACAAGCTTAATATCATAACAACAATGATTAAAGGGTTCACTGTATCATGAAAGGGTTCTTCAGAGTGATATAAGCATCATCTTTTTAATAAGTGTAGGATTTCACATCAAATCACCCAACATGTTTAAAAGATCAGTTATGTTTACATAAATATGGGATCACTGCTGTCCTGCTGTGGTTTGCACTAAATTTATCAATAAATTACCTTTTCATCTTTTTTTGGTCATTCTTGATGATGGGTGTTTTTGTTTTTAGTGTAATCACAGTATAAAATTCAGTAAATCTTGATTATAAAGCTTTAAATAACATTTCTCCTTCGTTTCTCCTCCCGTGGGGCGGACGGGGAACTCACTGTGATGCGGTAGTCGGTGACGCGACCCCCACAGCCCTCACTGATGGAAGGCGGATCCTCCAGCGTGGAGCGGGTGCTGTTGAGCATGTGCAGAAAAATCTCCCCACCGTGGCAACTCAGCATGTGACTGATGACCTTCGACCCAGATTTGCGGGGCTGCTCTAAAAGTACAGAACGACCTGAAACGAGAAGAAAGAAAAGGGATATATATTCTGCATGCAATTTCCCATAATCCCTCTGACCTTTCCTTTCCTAGATCTTCTGTTTAATACGACTTCTAGATCATTGCAGGCCAAAGTGTCACCGGCTGGACGACTGAGAGAGTAAACATTTTTATATGGTGTGCAACTGATAAAATTACATCTTTTTAAAATTGTATTAAAGTTATTGAGTGACAAAACAGTGTGTGATGTTATAAAGTCAATTTTTAAAAACTATATTTGACACATACAGTCATACGCAAAAGTTTGAACGCCCTGGATCACCCAAATAATGCGTTTAGTTGATTTTCTAAGTGAAAATGAGTTCACATATCTTCTAAAGAGAACACAGTCCCATTTCACCCCTCAGCCCTACCCCTCTGTTTTCACGTCTAGGGGTAGGTTGTCCTGATTCTTGGTGAGATAGAGGGGGAGGGCGAAGTGTTGGGGCTACATGGCCCTCCAAACTGAGGTTTTTCAGAGACTCCAAACAGAGTGATATGAGATAAAAAGAGAAACCGGCAGGATGGAGCACAAGAGATCAAAGAAACTCACAAATGTGAGAATTTTCTGTTAAAAAAATCACGATAACCACTGTATTAACTTAGGTTAATGTACTTTCAGTGTATTATGGTCGTTTTCTTCATAACAAGCATAAAAAAAAAAAATCACTAATGGATGCTAATGTCTCGGTAGCTAGCTAGCTAACTTTCCTGCTCCACCTTAAATAGTCCAGCAGTTCTGACGCCTGAAGCACCAGAATGTAACTGCTGCTCCATTTAAGGGGGAACGGGAAAATTCGAACAAGAATCTGGTGAATATCTGACTTCAGCTTCATATCACTGAAGAATTAGTGGTGGGTGATAATAAATAATTGCCCCCTCTTTAAAGGCATATGATGCCCTAAATGTAACTAAAGCCCAGCAGTGAGGAGCTGAAATTTACCCTCCTCTGCTGTCACTGCAGACTGGCAGGGTCGCCTACAGAGCAGCGCTGGTAGCTGTTAATGAAGTGATGCTCTTTTGATTTGAGGGTCCCATTTCAGAGGGAAGATTTCAACCACTACCCTGTAACTCAGTTCCAAGGGGTTAGGGTGACACTCAAGGGGGGGGTAAAAATAAGAAATGGGACGGGGCCTTAGGCTGTGTCTTTGAAGGGTTAAACATATATTTAGATCAAACAACTATTAATAAGCTCAATAATAAACTCAAACAAACCGTTCAGAAGGAAGTTAGTGAGGCACGAGGAGGGTCTGCTGTTGACGTCCACAGGAGAGATCCGAAACGCTCCGGTGCAGTAATGCAACTCTGAAACACAACGTCACAACATCAAGTCAACACAAACTCCCAGTACATTTACAATGACACAAAGAGAACTGCGTTTCCCAGAATTCTTCTTACCCACCTACACTGTTAGTGCGTGGAGTGCACCATTTCAGCGTGACCGTCTCCTTTAGACCACTGTCCTTGCTGGTGCTGCCCGCCATGTGTAGATCACCTGTACACACGCAATCAGAAATACACTGATTATACACTCAAATACAAACGAATATATTGTTGCTGTCAGAACAAAATCTCACATCTCCATATTTCTGTTTTTCATAATTTAATAATGTCAGCTGACCTTTACTTTGTGTGAACATATTATAATGAAGGGACCAATAGAAATAGCCCAAAATGACTTAGAAAACAACCTTGTCATATTTAGTACTGACTAACATTAAAAGTTAAGAATGGTTTCGGCTCCTCTTATGACATTTCTGGAGATATGTAAAGAATGTAGTGTGAGATTTGGTGTTATTGGGAAATCAGCCACTATAAAGGCCTGGTCACACCTTCGTTTGTCAGCAAATTTTCAGGACTGAAATTACTGAATTCGTCTCGATGAGCGTCTTCACACTACAGATTTTCCAAGTTAATAAATTCTGACATGCGAATTTGCATCCTCGACCAAATTTGAGGTTAAAACGGCCAGAATACAGAATCTACATTAAAGCATCAAATGTCAAAACTTTTCTAAGCTAGTAAAATGTTTATCATTATTGTGATAAATTACATCACAATAAATCACTATAAGCTTTTCTGAGCATACTGATGATATCAGTACTTGAAAGTCACTTCCCAACTGTATGTTCGATTAAAAACAGCATAATTATTCCTGTTAAACTGGATTTGGTGCAGAGCAGTGTGTAAAATTGTTTAATACAAGTACAACCCAGTTTTCAAAAAAGTTGGGACGCTGTGCAAAACGCAAAATAAAAACAAAATGCAATGATGTGCAAATCATTTAAACCCTGTATTTCATTGAAAATATTACAAAGACAACATATGAAACGTTGAAACTGAGAAATTTTATTGTTTATTATTTTTGAATTTGATGCCAGGAGGGTTGGGACAGGAGCAACAAAAGGCTGGTAAAGTTGTGTAATGCTAAAAGAAACTCCTGGTGGTTGACTGGCAACAGGTCAGTAACATCACTGGGTATAAAAGAGCATCTCAGAGAGGCGGAGTCTTTCAGAAGTAAAGATGAGGAGGGGTTCACCACTCTGTGAAAGACTGCACCATCAAACAGTGCAACAATTCAAGAAGAACGTTTCTCAATGTAAAATAACAAAGAACGTTTGCTTTTCATCATCTATGGTATATAATATCATTAAAAGATTCAGAGAATCTGGAGAAATCTCTGTATGTAAGAGTCGAGGCCAAAAACCAGTATTAGCTGGCTGTGATCTTTGGGCCCTCAGGAGGCACTGCATTAAAAACAGACATGATTCTGTAGTGGAAACCACTGCATGGGCTCAGAAACACTTCTGAAAACCACTGTCTGTGAAAACAGTTCATCACTGCATCCATAAATGCAAGTTAAAGCTCTAAAACGCAAAGAAGAAATCATATATGAACAGGATCCAGAAATGCTGCCACCTTCTCTATATACATATTTCTCAAAAAACAATAAAATTTCTCAGCTTCAACACTTGCTATGTTGTCTTTGTAGTATTTTCCTTTAAAAATATGGTTTACGTGATTTGCACATCATTGCATCCTATTTTTATTTACGTTCTGCACAGCGTCCCAACTTCTTTGAAAATGGGATTGTAATTGCATTCATAGTTTTTGATAGTTTGTGGCACTACTTTGTCCGTTCTAACTTATCAGATGTCAGAAAAAAAATACCGCGACCCACTGCGTATCCTAAATAACTTCCTGTAGTACGTTTTGCCACATCGCCCACCTCTATTCTGAAGCATCTTGGGGAAGAACTTTTCCATAAAATCCCCACATCAGTGATCACCCACTGTTAAAGGAAGTGTCTGAGCTGACAGTGTGACTATAGTGAAAGTACAAGTCTGTATCTGGAGTGAGTGGCTGCAGCAGCTGTGCAGCAGCTTAGCCACGCAGCTAAACTAGCAGCCGCTTTCAGTATCTGATTATGTATATCTATGATTATTAGCTTGCTGAGCTATCAATTAGGTCCACATTCAGAGTGCTGGGTTCTCAGAAAAGCCTTTTGGTTACTCCACACGAGTATGTATTTCTGCCCAGTGTCTGCAAACAGCTGTTGGATGTTTGCAAATATCCCCATACAATTCTAATTACAGCCAGAATAAATAGCTGTTTTGTTTGTGGTCAGCAATGGTATGGTCTTCCCTCTGTTTGGTAGTTGTTTGTGATGTCGGTAACCAGTTAGCCTAGAACACACTAGGAGCTGCAGCAGAGGCTTTAAACGCTCTGGAATGTGCATTGTTCATTGGATTCAAGGCATTTTCAAATGTCGAATTTTTACAGCCCTAAACAGTGCATACCGCTCTTGATGAACTCCATGTGAGCATCTCGATGGTGCAGAAGCTCCACATCGTAGTTAGCAGAGGTATTTGCATGTTGCTCCTCCTTCATTTTGACAGAGAAAACACATGTAAATGAAAGAAGTTAGTCAGGACTCACAAACACATCCACTTCTGTCTCGACAACTTCCTTCCACGGATCTGGGCTGAACTTCCCGAAAGTAAGTAAGTACGTTTTATTTCTAAAGCACTCTTAAAACAACTTGCGTTGACCAAAGTGCTGTACCTCAAATCAGCCCACACATAAACAACACAACAAGTAAGAGATCAAAAATAAGATAAGATAGGAAAGAGAAACAAAGTGAAGAGGTAAAAGAATAAAAGCAAAATAAAAACAGATAAGATGATGAGTATAAAAAAAGACTTGCAAGTTTGTATAAATATGTTTTTAGTCTTGATTTAAAAACAGCGACTGTAGGTGCTTTGGTGAATAGTGGGAGGTAGACTGTTCCATAGTCTCGGAGCGTAGACTGCAAACGCACGACCACCTTTAAACTTCAAACAAGCCAATATAGGAACAGCCAGCAGGTTCTGCAGGATGATCTCAAAGCTCGCTGTGTGGTAGAGGGAGTGAGCATACTGCCAACATACGAGGTGGCCTGAACATTAAGTGCTTTAAAAACAAATAAAAGCACTTTGAATTGTATCCTGAACTGGACCGGCAGCCAATGAAGTGAAGCGAGGACTGGAGTAATACGGTCTCTTTTCTTGGCACTAGTCAGTAACCTAGCTGCCGTAGTCAATTCTACAGGAGATGAATGCATGAATATCTTTCTCCAGCTCAGAAAAACAGAGAAAAGGCTTAAGCTCTGCAATGTTTCTGAGCTGGAAGAAGCTCCTCCTCACCACAGAGCTGATTTCTTTATCAAATCTGAGGTCCGAGTCAAAGATAACACCAAGATTTCTCACAGAAGTCTTGACACTTGGGGACAAATGGAGACACCATTAATGTGACGAGGACCACCAAAAATAATAACCTCTGACTTGCCTTCATTCAGCTGGAGGAAACTGACAGCCATCCACCTCTTAATGTCCTCAAGACAACTGCTGAGAGACACTGTCATTAGGTCTAATGGGAAGGTAAAGCTGTTGTGCTTCCTAATAATTTCACCTAATGGCAGCATGTATACTGAAAAAAGGAGAGGCCCTAATATGGACCCTTGTGGAACGCCACAAGAAACATCAGCAGAGGAAGAGAAATAGCCGGCAGTATTCACTGAAAAAGTTCTGGGCTTAAGATAAGATGTGAACCAACTCAGGGCCTCTCCCTGTAACCCCACCCACTTTTCTAGGCGACCAATAAGTATTCATGGTCAACCGCATCAAAAGCAGAGCTTAGATCCAATAACATGAGGATGGCGCAATTTCCTTCATCAACAGAAAGTATTTTTTGTTCATGTTCTACATGTGAGGCAGGACAGTGACGTTACGTATCAGCCACAGGAAACCGAAACAGACGCTTCATTAGCCATGTTTCCATGCAGCCTAATAATCTATTAATAATCCAACTAATAGTTCAATCGGAATAGAATATTCCATGTATACACTTCAATCGGAACAGTCTAGTCCGATTGAGGCCATCCGGAATACAGTTTCTATCTGACTGATCGAGGTGGGTAATCCTGTAAATAATCAGTTAAATAGAAGAATAATATCCGTGTAAACGCCTGTATCTGATTACATTCCCTATCAGAAAGTTTAAGCCCGTTCTGATCATGTTTGTCGCGTCACAGTGAGAGTTTATACTGTTCAACATGGCGGAGCAGAAACTGGTCTGCAGAGGAGACGAAGTTTATGCTCTGATCTTTAAAAGACGGCGGTGGGACGGACGTCCAGCTTATGTGTCTCAGAACACGACGTCTTCCTCTCGGCCTTCTTTAATAAGGACATGTGAGGGACGTTTTCCTGAGTCTGACATCATTTTAAAGTCATTAAAAACACAAGCGCTGCTCACTGCTGCTCATCTCACTCGGACTGGACTCACATGATACTCGTACATCTACACTGGTACCCTATGCATGTGCGTAGTTTTGGATTGGATAAATTGTAGTGAGCATGTAAACAGAGATTTTCCATCAGATTGTTGAGTAGAGTGAGAATATAAACACCTCAGTCTTAATCTATAACCGGAATGAATCCAGTTGGTTTGGCAAAAATCTTTGCATGCAAACACAGCCGTTGATTGTTGTCTGCACTCCCGCGTCAGTAAAGCTTTCAGCGCCTTCTCTAAAACAAGCTGCGTAAATAACCTCAGGTTGTAGTTATCCTGTGCGAATCAGCATGGTACAAACAGTCATATTCTGTGTAAAAGGAGTTTTTTATGGAGACTCCGCGTCTGTGTTTACATGCAAAGGCATTTGCCAATCCGATTGAACACTTTCCGATTCCAGATTAAGGCTGAGGTGTTTATCTGCTCACTCTATTCAACGATCCAATGGAAAATCTCCGTTTACATGCTCACTACAAGTAATCCGATCCAAAATGATGCGCATGCGTGGAGAACCACTTAGAGTAAACGTTACCATGGCAGCGAACATCAGTCCAGTCAGAGTGAGATGAGCAGCAGTGAGCAGTGCTTGTATTTTTAATTGCTTTAAAATGCTGTCAGACTCAGGAAAACGTCCTTCACATGTCCTTATTAAAGAAGGCCGAGAGGAAGACGTCGTGTTCTGAGACACATAAGCTGGACGTCCGTCCCACCGCCGTCTTTTAAAGAGCAGAGCATAAACTTCGTCTCCTCTGCAGACCAGTTTCTGCTCCGCCATGTTGAACAGTATAAACTCTCACTGTGACGCGACGAACATGATCAGAACGGACTTAAACTTTCCGATAGGGAATGTAATCAGATACAGGCGTTTACACGGATATTATTCTTCTATTTAAAAGATTATTTACAGGATTACCCACCTCAATCAGTCGGATAGAAACTGTATTCCAAACGGCCTCAATCAGACTAGACTATTCTGACTGAGTTGTAAACATGGACGTATTCTATTCCAACTGAGCTATTAGTTGGATTATTAATGGATTATTAGGCTGCATGGAAACATGGCTACTGAGAAACAGTGGTAAAATTCGTATTACTGCACCTCCTCATTTGCAACTTATCCCTAAAAAAACCAGTCACTCCTGTGGTTTTTGACAAATTTTAATAAGTGAAATTCATTAATTTCAATGGAATTTGTTGCAGTGATTGTTTTCACAAGGCAGATTTTCTGAGCGAAAAAATCTCATGTCAAGCTCAACTTTGGTGCATTCTGATATGCGAACTAACGTCCTTAAGCACTAGTGCTACTGCTCTAGCTACATTGATCTCTGAAGGTGCGGGGCTTCTTACAGAGAATTTCTATTAGAGAATTGCTACTCAATGTCTTCCGGGTTTGTCAGACACTAGAGGGCGCTCCCAAGTGAGTACAAAATCAGTACATTACTGTGAAGCTTTTGTGCAAAACTGTAGTTTGTAAAATTACTAATTTTCTCAACTTGTTAAAATCAGTACTCAGTAGCAGTAATGCTAATCAATCAGCCCTCAGTGGCAGTAATGCTAACCAATTAGCACTCAGTGGCAGTAATGCTAACCAATTAGCGCTCAGTAGCAGTGACGCTAACCAATCGGTGCTCAGTATCAGTAATGCTAACCAATCAGCGCTCAGTAGCAATAATGCTAACCAGTCAGCGCTCAGTAGCAGTAATGCTAACCAATCAGCGCTCAGTAGCAGTGACGCTAACCAATCAGTGCTCAGTAGCAGTAATGCTAACCAATCAGCACTCAGTAGCAGTAATGCTAACCAATCAGCACTCAGTAGCAGTAATGCTAACCAATCAGCACTCAGTAGCAGTAATGCTAACCAATCAGCGCTCAGTGGCAGTAATGCTAACCAATCAGTGCTCAGTGGCAGTAATGCTAACCAATCAGCGCTCAGTGGCAGTAATGCTAACCAATCAGCCCTCAGTAGCAGTAATGCTAACCAATCAGCGCTCAGTAGCAGTAATGCTAACCAATCAGCGCTCAGTGGCAGTAATGCTAACCAATCAGCAATCTGTAGCAGTAATTCTACCTAATCAGCGCTCAATAGCAGTGACGCTAACCAATCAGCGCTCAGTAGCAGTAATGCTAACCAATCAGCGCTCAGTAGCAGTAATGCTAACCAATCAGCGCTCAGTAGCAGTAATGCTAACCAATCAGCACTCAGTAGCAGTAATGCTAACCAATCAGCACTCAGTAGCAGTAATGCTAACCAATCAGCACTCAGTAGCAGTAATGCTGACCAATCAGCGCTCAGTAGCAGTAATGCTAACCAATCACCACTCAGTAGCAGTAATGCTAACCAATCAGCGCTCATTAGCAGTAATGCTAACCAATCAGCGCACAGTAGCAGTAACGCTAACCAATCAGTGCTCAGTAGCAGTAATGCTAACCAATCAGCCCTCAGTAGCAGTAATGCTAACCAATCAGCACTCAGTAGCAGTAATGCTAACCAATCAGCACTCAGTGGCAGTAATGCTAACCAATCAGCGCTCAGTGGCAGTAATGCTAACCAATCAGTGCTCAGTGGCAGTAATGCTAACCAATCAGCCCTCAGTAGCAGTAATGCTAACCAATCAGCGCTCAGTGGCAGTAATGCTAACCAAATCAGCGCTCAGTAGCAGTAATGCTAACCAATCAGCGCTCAGTAGCAGTAATGCTAACCAATCAGCGCTCAGTGGCAGTAATTCTACCTAATCAGCGCTCAGTAGCAGTGACGCTAACCAATCAGCGCTCAGTGGCAGTAATGCTAACCAATCAGCAATCTGTAGCAGTAATTCTACCTAATCAGCGCTCAGTAGCAGTGACGCTAACCAATCAGCGCTCAGTAGCAGCAATGCTAACCAATCAGCAATCTGTAGCAGTAATTCTACCTAATCAGCGCTCAGTAGCAGTGACGCTAACCAATCAGCACTCAGTAGCAGTAATGCTAACCAATCAGCGCTCAGTGGCAGTAATGCTAACCAATCAGCACTCAGTAGCAGTAATGTTAACCAATCAGCACTCAGTGGCAGTAATGC